GTTGTCTTATAAAAGGCATTTGAAAATACCTCCAATGTTGTTCAAATTCTCCGATGTTGTTGACACTTTCGCGTTGCCCTGCCAAGCAGCCGTGGAGTGGTGCTGCGGTACAGCGGTACGGGTGTAGCAAAGATCAAAACATGTGACGTCACCTAACCGATTTTTAGCGAAATTGTTTGGCAAACAATTTAGCGTTGGCGCCAGATTACCAGATTTCGCACCTCTTTCTTGTGAGTTTTAAGCAAACGCGCACTGAAATGGAAGGAACTAGAGTTTATTTTGCCATAGGGTAGTGTGATTATGCATGACACGAAGTATTTGCGATAGTCTGCGATAGTTGCGAAGTCTAGTACTGGATAAATTAGCGTTTGGATGCGCATTGTGCGACTTTAAGACTGAAACACAAAGCAGGGTTTCTTCCGAGGGATAATTAGACAAAGGAGGTAATGGCCAGTTTGGGAAAAAAACGCACATGATGGATTCAAAGGCACGCATGTGGACGCTTCAGGAGGACGTGGGGGGAGAGAGGGAGAGGGGGATCTGTGGGGTCTCCCCCAGCAAAATTTAAAAAAATTGAATGTCATAGACTGCATTTGAGCGATGTTATAGATGCCTTAAGCCCGGCGCACACGTGAGGAGTAAGTCAAGTAAAATGACGCACGAGTCAAAATACTCAAGGAATAAGTGTTAATGCAGATCACGTGACTGTGCGCAGCCAATACTGGGCGCACAATGATTTAAACGCATGCGCTGTGAGTACCAGTGTTGAGTAAATTTACTCAGCGCGCGCGCACACGTTGAGTAAAGTGACGCATGAGTCAAAAATTATCAAACACGTTTGATATTGAGTAAAATGACGCATGCGTCAAAATACTCAACGAAAATCCGCTGCACACGTGAGTAAAATGACTCGTGCGTCATTTTACTTGAGTAAAATTACTCACGTGTGCGCCGGGCTTTAGATGCAATGGCGATGTTAAATTAGACAACGGCGGTGCGCCACTGTGCCTCTTATGTGTAAGAAACCCTGGGAGGTAGCCATGCAGATGTGCAGCCAGTCAGCCATGCAGACGCGTACCATGCCGTCGTACATCAGAGATCGTAGCTCAGTGGAGTCATACATTGTTCAGTGAGGTCGTGATGTCATAGTGGACTGAGGTCGTAGGTCAGTGAGGTCGTGATGTCATAGTTGAGTGAGGTCATAGTTGAGTGAGGTCGTGATGTCGTAGGTCAGTGAGGTCGTGATGTCATAGTTGAGTGAGGTCGTGATGTCGTAGGTCAGTGAGGTCATACTTCAGTGAGGTCATGGTTCAGTGAGTATAAGCAGGAGTCCGGGTGGATGCTGCGTTGCTGGTGTATGTGTGTGTCTGTGTGTGTGTGCGTGCGCGTGCGCGTGTGTGTATGTGTGTGTGTGTGTGTGTGTGTGTGTGTGTGTATCTTCTTTTCTCTCTCATCTCTCCCTCTGCTCTCTGTCTCTCGTCTCTCTCTCTCTTCTCTCTCTCTCTCTCTTCTCCTCCCTCCCTCCCTCCTCACCTCCCTCTCTCCTCCCCTCCCTCCCTCCCTCCCTCCTCCCTCCTCCCTCGCCTCCTCCTCCCCCCTCCCTCTCTCTCTCTCTCTCTCTCTCTCTCTTTCTCTCTCTTTCTTCTGCGTTTCTCTGTATATATAAATAAAATATATATTTACGACATACGTAATATAAAATATATATATATATTATTATATTATAATCTTGCACTAAATATCAATACCACATCTACTCATAGACTGTAGTTGAGTCCGTTGGCTTACGGTGCTGTTGTAGTATGTAGTATGTTTAGTGCTGTCGGTTATGGCTTAGTGCTGTATGTATTAAGCGTGTAGTATGTAGTTTGCGTCGGATATGGCTACGGCTGTGTACCTGTATGCGTGTAGTATGTGTGCTGTAGGTATGGCTCAGGTGCTGTATTGTATGCGTGTAGTAATGTATGCTGTCGGTATGGCTAGGTGCTGTATGTATGCATGTAGTATGTCTAGTTGCGCTGATCGGTATTGGCTAGGTGCGTATGTATTTTTGCGGTGTGTATGTAGTGCGGTCGGTCATGGTAGGTGCTGTATGTATGCATGTAGTATGTAGGCTGTCGGTATGGCTAGGTGCTGTATGTAGCATGTAGTATGTAGTGCTGTCGGTATGGCTAGGTTGCTGTTATGTATGGTGTAGTATGATAGTGGCTGTCGTTTTATGGCTAGGTGCCTGTTATGTATGCGTGTAGTATGTAGTGCCTGTCGGTTGGCTAGGTGCTGTATGTATGCCGTTGTAGTATGTTAGTGCTGTTCGCGTATGGGCTGTGCTGTATGTATGCATGGAGGTGCAACATGATGTAGTATGTTAGTGCGTCGTCTATGTAGGGTGCTTGTATGTATGCGTTGTAGGTATGTAGTATGCTGTCGGTATGGCCTAGGTGCTGTATGTATTGCGTGTAGATATGTAGTGCTTGTAGTATGGCTAGAGGTTGTGTATGTTGGTGTAGTACTGTAGTGCTGTTCGGTAGGCTAGGTGCTGTATGTATGCGTAGTTATGTTATGTAGTGCTGTCGTTATGGTAGGTGCTGATATGTATGCGTGTAGTATGTTAGTTTGGCTGTCGGTATGGCTAGGTGCTTGAAGTATGTATGCTGTCGTTATGGCTATGGTGTGTATGTATTGCATGTAAGTATGTTAGTGCTGTCGGTTTATGGCTTAGGTGCTGTATGTTATGCGTGTAGTATGTAGTGCTGATTCAGGTATTGCTAGGTGCCTGTATGTATGGTGTAGTATGTTAGTGTGTCGGTTATTGGCTAGGTGCTGTATGCTATGTTATGTAGTATAGTAGTGCTGTCGGTGATGGCTAGGGTGCTGTATGTATGCGTGTAGTATGTTGTGCTGTATTGGTATGGCTAGGTTGCTGTATCGTATGCGTTTCTAGTATGTAGTGCTGTCGGTATGGCTAGTGTGCTGTATGTATGGTGTAGTATGTTAGTGCTGCTTCGGGATTGGCTAGGTGTTGTATGTATGCGTGTTAGTATGTAGTTGTGTTTCGGTATGCTAGGTGCTGTTATGTATGCGTGTAGTATGTAGTGCTGTAGGATATTGCGCTTAGGTGCTGTATGATATGCATGTAGTTGTAGTGCTTGTCGGTATTGGCTATGTGTTGCTGTATGTATGCGTGTAGTATGTAGTGCTGTCGGATGGCTAGGTGCTGTATGTATGCGGTAGTATGTAGTGCTGTCGGTATGGCTAGGTGCTGTATGTATGCATGTAGTATGTAGTGCTGTTCGGTTTTATGGCTAGGTGCTGTATGTATGGTGTTAGTTATGTAGTGCCTTGTTAGGCTATTGGCTAGGTGCTGTATGTAAATGCCGCTGTTTAGTATGTAGGTGCTGTCGGTATGGCTAGCGTGCTGTTATGTATGCTGTGTAGTATGTAGTGCTGTCGGTATGAGCATTAGGTGCTGTATTGTATGCAATGTAGTATGTATTAGTGCTGTTAGGTTATGGCTAGGTGCTGTATGTATGCATGTAGTATGTAGTGCTGTCGGCTATGGCTAGGTGCTGCTTTTTAATATGTAATGGACGTGTAGTATGTAGTGCTGTAGGTATGGCTAGGTGCTGTATGTATGCATGTAGTATGTAGTGCTGTCGGTATGGCTAGGTGCTGTATGTATGCAGCTGTAGATTATGTAGTGCTGATCGGTATGGCTAGTGTGCTGTATGTTATGCATGTAGTACTGTAGTGCTGTCGGTATGGCTAGGTTGCTGTATGTATGCGTGTAGCTATGTAGTGCTGTCGTATGATAGGTGCTGTATGTATGGCATGTGTATGTAGTGCTGATCGGTTATGGCTAGCGTGCTGTATGTATGCGTGTGTATGTAGTGCTGAGGTATGGCTAGGTGCTGTATGTATGACATGTATGTATGTAGTGCCGTCGTTATGGCTAGGTGCTGTATGTATGCATTGGTAGTATTGTAGTTGCTGTCGGTATGGCTACGTGCTTGATGTATGCCGCTGTAGTTGTATCTGCTGTCGCGCGTATGGCTAGGTGCTGTATGTATGCGTGTAGTATGTAGTGCTGTCGGTATGGCTAGGTGCTGTATGTATGCGTGTAGTATGTAGTGCTGTCGGTATGGCTAGGTGCTGTATGTATGCATGTAGTATGTAGTAGCACTGTCGGTATTGGCTAGGTGCTTGTATGTATTGACATGTTAGTATGTCTAGTGCTGTCGGTCATGGCTAGGTGCCTGTATGTATGCGGTGTTTATGTGAGTGACTGTCGGTATGGCCTTTAGGGTGCTGGTATGTTATGCCATGTGTATGTAGTGCTGTCGAGTTATGGCTAGGTGCTGTTATGTATGCCGTTGTAGTATGTAGTGCTGTCGGTTATGGCTAGTGCTGTATGTGATGCGTGTAGCTATGTAGTGCTGTCGGTATAGGCTAGGTTGCTCGTATGTATTGCATGTAGTATGTAGTGCTGTCGGTATGGCTTAGGTGCTGTATCGTATGCGTGTAGTATGTTAGTGCCTGTCGGTATGGCTTAGGTGCTGTTATGTATGGTGTAGTAGATGTAGTGCTGTCAGGTTTAATGGCTAGGTGCTGTATTGTATGCGTGTAGTATGTTAGTGCCTGTCTGGTACATGGACTAGGTGCTGTTGTATGCACTGTAGTATGTACGGGCTGTCGGTTATGCGCTAGGTGCCTGTATGTATGCATTGTAGTACTGTAGTGCTGTCGTATGGCTAGAGTGGCCTGTATGTATGATGTAGTATGTAGTGCTGTCGGTATGGCTTAGGTGCTGTATGTATGCATGTAGTATTAGTTTTAGTTTGCTTGTCGGTATGGCTAGGTGCGCTGGTATGTATGCATGTAGTATGTTAGTGCTGTCGGTATGGCTAGGTTTGCTGTAAATGTATGCATGCTGTATGTAGTCTGTCGGTATAGGCTAGTGCTGTATGTATGCGTGTGTTAGTATTGTAGTTGCCTGTAGGTATGGCTAGGTGCTGTATGTATGCAATGTGTATGCTAGTTGCTGTCGGTATGGCTAGTCGTGTGTATGTATGACATGTAGTATTGTAGTGCTGTCGGTATGGCTAAGGTGCTTGTAGTATGCGTGTATGTAGTATTTAGTGCTGTAGGTATGGTCTAGGTTGCTGTATGTATGCATGTAGTATGTAGTTGCTGTTTCGGTATGGCTAGGTGCTGTAACATGTATGCGCTGAGTATGTAGTGCTCGGTATGGCTAGGTGCTGGTATGTATGCGTGAGTATGTACGTTGCTGTCAGGTATGGTAGGTGCTGTATGTATGCATGTAGTATGTAGTGCTCGTCGGTTGGCTACGGTGCTGTATGTATGCGTGTGTATGTTAGTGTGTCGGTATGGCTTAGTTGCTGTATGTATGCGTGTAGTATGTAGTTGATGTAGGGTATGGCTAGTGTGCTCGTATGTATGCAGTTGTAGTGTTCAGTGCTGTAGGTATGCTAGGTGCTGTATCGTTGCATGTTATCGTAGTTGCGTTGTCGTATGGCTACCGGTGCTGTATGTATGCGTGTAGTATGTTAGTTGCTGTCGTTATGGCTAGGTCTGTATGGTATGCGTGTTAGTATGTAGTTGCTGTCGGTTGGCTTATGGCTGCTGTATGTATGCGATGTAGTATGTAGTGCTTGTCGGTATGGTAGGTTGTGTATGTATGCCGAAATGTGATGTAGCTGCTGTTAGGTATGGCTAGGTGGCTGTATGTATGCATGTAGTATGTATTGCTGTCGGTATGGCTAGTGCTGTATAGTTGCATGCTAGTATGAGTGCTGTCCGGTATGGCTTAGGTGCTGTATGTTTGCGTGTAGTAGTGTAGTGCTGGTAGGGGGTATGGCTAGGGTGCTGATATGTATGGTGCTAGTATTTGTAGTGCTGTTAGATATGGCTAGGTGCCCTGTATGTAATGCATGTAGTATGTTAGTGCTGTCGGTTATGGCTAGGTGCTGTATGGATGCGTGTAGTATGTAGCTGCTGTAGTATGGGCTAGAGTGCTGTACTGTATTGCGATGTAGTATGTAGTACTTAGTATGGCTATCGTGCTGTATGTATGCAACTTGTAGTACTGTAGTGCTGTCGGTATGGGCTAGCGTAGCTGTATGTATTTACATGTAGTATGTGAGTGCTTGTCGGTATGGCTAGGTGCTGTATGTATGCATGTAGTACTGTAGTGCTGTGGTTATGCGCTTAGGTTGCTGTTATGTATGCATGTTAGTATGTAGTTAGCTGTCCGGATATGGCTAGGTGCTGTTTTATATGTATGCAGTGTAGTATGTAGTGCTTGTCGGTATGGTTAGGGCTGTATTTATGCATGTAGTATGTAGTGCTGTTCGGTTTATGGCTTAGGTGCTGTATGTATGCGTGTAGATATATGTAGTGCTGTCGGTATGGCTAGGTGCTGTATGTATGCGTGTAGTATGTAGTGCTGTCGGTATGGCTTAGGCTTGATGTATGTATGCGTTGTCAGTTATGTAGTGCTTGTCGGTATGGCTAGGTGCTGTATGTATGCGTGTGTTGTATGTAGTGCGTGTCGGTTATGGCATAGGTGCTGTATGTATGCGATGTGTATGCTTAGTGCTGTCAGGAATATTGGTACGGTGCTGCTATGTATGCACTGTAGTATAATGTAGTGCTGTCGGGTATGGCATAGGTGCTGTATGTATGCCGTTGTAGTATGTAGTGCTGTCGGTATGGTAGTTGCTGTATGTATGAGTGTAGTATGTAGTGCTGATCGGTATGGCTAGGAGTGCCTGTATGTATGCATGTTAGTATGTAGTGCTGTCGGTATGGCTAGGTGCTGTATGTTATGCGTTGTGTATGTCAGTGCCTGTTCGGTTATTTGGCTAGGTGCTGTATGTATGCATGTCAGTACTGTAAGTTGCTGTAGGTATGGCTAGCGTGCTTGTATGTATGCATGTAGTATGTAGTGCGTGTGTCGGTGTATGGCTAGGTGCTGTATGTATAGCCCGTTAGTATGTAGTGCTGTCGGTATGGTAAGGTGCTGTATGATCACTGTAGGTATGTAGTTGCTGTAGGTTATGCGCTTAAGGTGCTGTATGTATGCCGGTAGTATGTATAGTGCTGTCGGTATGGTAGGTGGCTGTATGTATGCCATGTAGTACTTTTGTTAGTTGCTGTCGGTATGGCTGGTGCTGTATGTATGCGCTGTTAGTATGTAGTTGCTGTCGGCTATGGCTTAGGTGCTGTATGTATGCGATGTAGTATGTAGTGCTGTCAGGATATGCGCTATGGTTGCTGTATGTATGCGATGGTAGTATGTAAGTGCTGTCGGTCATGGCTAGGTGCTGTATGTATGCGCTGTAGTATGTAGTGGCTGTCGTATGGCTAGGCGTGCTGTATGTATGCGTGTAGTATGGTAGTGCTGTCGGAATGCTGAGGTGCTGTATGTATGCAGTGTTAGTATGTAGTGCTGCTCGTTTATGGCCTAGGTGCTGTATGCTTGCATTGTAGTATGTAGCTGGCTGTCGTGTATGGCTAGGTGCCTGTGATGTATGCGCTGTAGTATGCTAAGTGGCTGTAGGTTATGGCTAGTGTGCTCGTATGTATGGTGTAGCTATTGTAAGTGCTGCTCGGTATGGCTACCCCCGGTGCATGACTATGTATGGTGTAGTAATGTAGTGCTGTCACGGTATGGCTTAGGTGCCTGTTTATGTATGCGTGTAAGTATGTAGTGCTCGTCGATATGGCTAGGTGCTTGTATGTATTGCATGTAGTACTTGTAGTGGCTGTCGGTATGGCTTACCTGGTGTTGTATGTACTGGATTGATAGTATGTAGTGCTGTCGGTTATGGATAGGTGCTGTATGTATGATGTAGTATGGTTAAGATGCTGTCGGTATATGGCTTAGGTGCTGTAATGTTATTGGGTGTAGTATGTGCTGCTGTAGCGTTCATGGCTATGGTGCTCTGTATGTTTGCATTGTTAGTATGTAGTGTCTGTCGTATGATTAGGTTGCTGTATGTAGCGGTAGTATGTAGTGATTGTAGTATGTCGCTAGGTGCTGTATGTATGCGTGTGTATGTAGTGATGTCGGCTATGGCTAGGTGCCTGTATTATGTATATTGTATATTCCACTCCTTGCTGCTCTGTGACTGTTGTGCGCGACAGTCTCACACTGGCGGGCGGCGCCACCGAGCCAGGACAGTGATTCCCTCATCGCGGGATCAGTTTAGACGCATAAGGCCTTGAGTGTAGGCTCCATGCTTTAGCTATCAGTGTTCCTGCAGCGCGTAGAGAGGCAAGGATGAGAGACCAGTTAAGATCATCATCTCATCACTGTCAATTTCCCCCCCCCCCCCCCCCCCCCCCCCCCCCCCCCCCCCCCCCCTTCATCATCATTCATCTATCATGTATCGTCAATCATTATTCATCATTCATCATCATCGTCATCATCATTCACCATCATCATCGTCATACCTTGTTGTTCTTGTCAGCGAGGGATGAGTCAGCATAGGATAGCAGCAGCATCATCATCATCACCATCATCATCGTCATACTCTTGTTTTGTTTTTGTCAGCGAGGGGATGAGTCAGGTAGGACTCAGCTCATCATCATCATTCATACGCCATTTACCTTGTTGTTCTTGTGAGCGAGGGATGAGTCAGATAGGATAGCAGCAGCATTTCAATCATCACTTATCATCAACATCACTCATCACCATATTCATCGTCATCATCATCATTCATCGCCAATAACTTGTTGTTTTGTCAGATGTAGGAGCAGAATTCATCATCATCATCATCATCATCATCATCATCACCATCATCATCGTCATCATCATCATCATCGCCATAACTTGTTGTTCTTGTCAGTGTAGGAGAGCATCATCATCATCATCATCATCATCATCATCATCATCACATCATTAATCGTCACTCATCATCATCATCGCCATAACTTGTTGTTCTTGTACAGATTGTAGGCTTTTTTTTTCGAGAGCATAATCATCAATCATCATCATCATCTATCATCATCACTGCATACCTTGTAGTTCTGTCAGTGAGGGCATGAGTCAGCGTATGGAGTCATTCATCATCATCAATCATCATCAGATATATCATCATCATCATCATCGTCATCGTACTCATCATCATCATCATCATCATCGCCATAACTTGTTGTTCTTGTCAGCGAGGGATGAGTCAGTGTAGGAGAGCATCATCATCATCATCATTCATCATCATATCATCATCACATCATCATCCCTCATTCACCATCATCATCGTCATACCTTGTTGTTTTGTCAGCGGAGGCGTATGAGTCAGCATAGAATAGCATCATCATCATCATCATCATCATCATCATCATCATCATCTTCATCACCATCATCATCGTCATACCTTGTTGTTCTTGTCAGCGTAGGAGAGCATCAGCATCATCATCCTCGTCATCGTCATCATCATCATCATCATCATACATCATCGTGCCATACCTCATCATCACCATCATCACTGCCATACCTTGTTGTTCTCATCAGCGAAGGATAAGTCAGCGCAGGATAGCATCAGCATCATCATCACCATCATCATCATCATCGACATGACCGTTGTTGTTCCTTGTCAGCGAGGGTATGAGTCAGGTAGGAATAAGAGCAGCGATCATCACCTATCTATCATCATCATGTCATACCTTTGTTGTTCTTGTCCATCGAATGGATGAGTCATTCGAGATAGGATAGCAGCAGCTATCATCATCAATCATCATCATCATCGTCTCATCATCATCACGTCATACCTTGTTGTTCTTGTCAGCGATGGATGAGTCAGCGTAGGATAGCAGCAGCATCATCATCATCATCATCATCGTCATACCTTGTTGTTCTTGTCAGCGATGGATGAGTCAGCGTAGGATAGCAGCAGCATCATCATCATCATCATCATCATCACTGCCATACCTTGTTGTTCTTGTCATCGATGGATGAGTCAGCGTTTAGGATAGCATCAGCATCATCATTCATCATCATCATCTTTTATACCTTGCTTGTTCTTGTCAGCGATGGAATGAAGTCAGCGTAGGATAGCAGCAGATCAATCATTCATCTCATCATCATCGTTCTTACCTGTTGTTACTTGTCAGCGATGATGAAGTTCATGGTAGGATAGCACGCAGATTCATCATGCATATCAATCATCGTCATACCATTGTTTGTTCTTTGTCAGCGATGGATGACGTCAGCGTAGGATTAGCAGCAGCATCATCATCATCATCATCATCATTCGTCATC